CAAAGAAAAATAAGGTCCAGCTAAGTAGAATTCACAGTATTTTTGCCTATATAATATGAACTCTAACCAATCAGACTTCCTAGTGCTATATTTTAACTGGAAAAACCAATACAAATGCCTAACTTCAAACATAAAAGAAAAAGTGTGCTGCTCACCTTGTGGAAGATACTTTTGGAGGATGTGTGATGCCTCGTTTCTACTTTCCAACGCTCTGATGCTTTCTAATCCTCTAATACTCAGTGGACAATGTGATGCTGGGGAGAAAAGCGAATATGACTGCTGACCCTCTTCGATGGTAAATCCCATAACTTCTACACGACCATAAAGACAGGTCAGAAGGCACTTCCCGCGGAAACACAGCGTCTGCAGGTAAGACATGTTTAATCACAGAAATTAAATGACATCAGATTAAACATCTACATGTCCAACTAAAAATCAACTGACGCATACCTGATCCTTCTGCATGACAAGTACTGTGCGGTTCTCTCGATCGTCTCTCTGCGCACAGTGATGCAGAGCCTCTCCCTCCAATCTACCTCTCCGGACATCCTCAGTGTTATCTGAGGTCTCCATACCATTCCCATGCACTGACTGGGAATACTCCTTCCAGTCCTGTGAGTCATCTGAGTCATTGTCCATGGTAAACACTGAGCTTCCATTAGCCTGAGCATGTGTCTTCTTAATTCCAGACTCAGAAGAGCTATTCTTGTGGTTAGAGACAGACTTCACTTTATTTTTCAGCCTCTTGACAGATGGTTTTTTCCTTACAGACTCCTGGTGCTCCTTCACCATGCTGATCACCACAGGGCTAGAGTTTACATTAGAGAAACTGACGGGAGGTCTGCACCGTTTTCCCTTCGCATCTTTCCACTTGTGAGATTTATGTTTTACCTCTGCGTGTTTGTTCACTTTCATGATTGTCAGCAGTCAATTAGGTAAAAGAAAAATGAAAGCTGAACCTGCAAAGAAAAGGATGCACTTCATCAACTTAAGAATAAAGAATGGAAACAAAGCATTTACACTCAAGCAATTATTAGTTTAGTTCTGTGGAACCCATCTAGTTTACTTAAAGAGCAACTTTATTTCATGGCATTTAACCTTTGCACAGAGATTTTTATTGTAATAATATGATAATTATCATAATAATATTCAGTTATTTTTAATAAGTGTTCATCTATCCCGATGCCTGGGTATTTGTGCGTTGAAACTGTTGCAGTCAAGTTCCCTCTATGGTGTTAAACATCAGTGTTAGCTTCCATCACAGGTAGCAGACAGTTTATGCTTAAGCTGCATTGTCTGCTTATATCTTATTGAGTTCAGTTAAATCCACAAAGAGCAGTAAATGTCAGAGGAGCAGTGGTGCAGGTCAGCTGATCACAACACATGCAGAGGAGCTGGTGAGTGAAAGGAGAATGGTGGCTAAGCTGCCATCCCTGCTGGACAACATCTCCCACGCCATGCAGGAGACTCACAGCACTGAGCAGCTCCTTCAGTGGTAGGCTGCGGCTCCCACATGATAAAGGTTATCTTATCTTAAACAAATCTACTCAAGCTCACAACACATGTTTTTGCATGTGTTATTCCTAAGGGACATTTTTTCCCCAATGTTGTAGGCGATATTAGGGTTTGGTTTTTTTTTTTGTTTTTACATTTAATCTAACTTTTTTACCTCTTGGAGTCATTTTATAAGACTCTTAGAGTCTTTATAAGACAGTAAGACTGTTTTTATTATGTTTATTTTAATTTTAAAATGACAAGGCATAGAAATATACATCAACACTCCATCATTTAAGATTAAGTCATGGAGGCTCAGTTTCATATGCAGGTTTACAGCATTTATTCCATAGACCAGAAAACCATACTAAACAAACATTGAAGGCCACTTACAAAAAACCCACATGCAGGCTCAAAAGCCCATGAACACAGCTGCACTACTTCAGGTTACTCTCTCTTTGTTTACGTTATTCTTTTAAAATTGTGTTTACAGTTTCAGCTGCTGTAACACAGGAACTACTCCACGTTTGTGATGAATACAGTACATCTTCTCTTAGATTAAATAATCCTGTTTATAGTCTTGTTTTAACATATCCGTTAGCCAGAGCTAGCTTTCTTTTCCAGCCACAGCTCAATATAAATGAAAACTAAAGCCAAATATGTCGGTTTTCCACAATCTCTCAAAATGTGAACAGAGCAATGAATAAAATCACCTTCACGCAGTATGACAAGAATGTAACCTCAATTTTAAACTTGGGTTGAAGTTATCAAGACTTCACTAACACCGCCTCAAAAACTAGCATTAGCTGCTAGCTAACGTTGTTGCTTCCCGAGAAAACACTGCTTTAAAACAGATGGCACAAAGCTGTAGTTATAATCCCTGTGCCTTGGCTGCGAACATGCACAAGTAATGTTTATAATTATCTTAAGAGACACTAAAGAGCTGGTCACTTGTTATTGCAACGGTGCTAACAGGCTAATACTTACATGTGTGAGCCGCAGATAGACGTTGAGTCCGGATGGTCAACTATGACTTTACCCGAAGTGTTATTATCTGCTAAAAGAAGCGTCTAACAACTTAATTAACTTTTATAGTTTTTTTCCCCCCCAATACGTCGATAATATTACATACAAATGGAGCCACGAGTAAGAATATGGTTAGTCTCAGATTGTGATTAATCTAATCGTTAATATTTTAACATTGTACGACATAAAACATTCCCGGAGTGCGGTCGCATAAACAGCGTCACATCCTGTTTCACTTCGCACTTTTTAAGGGCCTACAAGAAACGAAAACAAGGTGCACTAATCTAGGTTTTTCTGTTGTATCACTCTGGCTCATGTGACGCCCGGATCGTGTGCAGGTTACAGAGAGGCCCGTCGTGTTTACTGAGTTTTTATTCAAACGCGAACTGAAGCTGTCCGTTGGACAGCGCGCTAAGGGAGCGTCTTTAAAGAGATGTGCTAGGAACTAAACGTGGAAGTGCAAAGTGGGTGAGAGTTTGCAATTATTTCACGAATGCTTTTTCGAATATGAACACTGAAAATGCACTAGGGTATGTTTAGACTTTATTTTAAAGGCAGCTCAATAAATGTCAATAAGGACAATAATTTAAATCTAATAATTATTTAATTTGTCCATCTAATATTAAGAGCGATGCTCTGTACATACTTTAAAGTACAGGTTGGGCCATTTATATGGATACACCGTAATAACATGGGAATGGTTGGTGATATTAAAGTCCTGTTTGTGGCACATTAGTATATGTGAGGGGGCAAACTCCTCAAGATGGGTGGTGACCATGGTGGCCATTTAGAAGTCGGCCATCTTGGATACAACTTTTGTTTTTTCAATAGGAAGAGGGCCATGTGACACATCAAACTTATTGGTAATGTCACAAGAAAAACAATGGTGGGCTCGCAAAATTTCGGGACTCTTCAGTTTTTGGTAGCCCAAAATAAATGTAAGTAGCCCAAATTAAAAAAAAAAAATTGATTGATGTTTTGTTTCCTTTACAATATTATACATTAAAGTATAATATTGTAAAGGAAACAAAACATTAATCAAAAAATTGTTGAAAAACAAATTACAACATTGTATAAAAATTACAATCATCAACTCAAATACTTGGTTCTAATTGAACAGAAATTTCTATGAACTTGTAAGAACTGTGTAGGACATGAATCAGTCTGTGTCAGATCCTGAATTTGAAATTTCCACTGAAGTCACGGGTAAGAGACAAGTGGAACCAAGATCGAGGCCATTTGCTTTTTGAAGTTTGCAAAGACTGCTAAATTTTGCCAGTGGTAGTTCACTCTTTGCAACATAGTACGCTGTTCTAAACAGATTTTTCAGGTTTATTTTTAGTATGTTATTTGCAATTGGTGTTTGTTCTGGGAAAGATATTGCAGACTGAGCAATAATGCATTTCTTGCATTTCTCATGGGTTCTAATGGGGGCCTTTCTTAAAATGACTGGTCCCAGTAACAAAGGCGCTTGTCGACTCAGAAATCGAGAGAAAACCAACAACACACCCGGCAGAACATTATGTTATTTACACGGGTGCACATAAGTGGTCCGCATGTGCGCATTCGCTGTCAAAATAAAAGACGCGCACCAGATAAGAAGTTGCAACGCGCGTTTGCGTCCATATAAAAAGCACTGTTTTTGTCCGCTAGAGTGGGATTTTCACGGCACATTTGTTTGAAGCCAGCTCACCTCCTGCAACCACTTTTCCGAGAATACGCGCTTCTTTTGTGGTTCGGACTCCTTCTGACTGGAGGTGGAGGAAAACCAAAGTAATTGCTTAAAGGAGCTTGCTTCTTCGACATCTTTAAGAGTTCTAAACAAATGTCTGTCCTCCTCCAGAAAATCTTATGTACGCAAACACGCGTTGCAACTTCTTATCTTGTGCGCGTTTTTTATTTTGACAGCGAATGCGCACCTGCGACCACTTATGTGCACCCCTGGTTATTTAGCTCGTCATATTGCAGCCACAGAAATTCTTTTGTCCATGAACCCATAAAGCTGCACTTTCTTTTTGCCTTATAGTCTGATTTGTCATAACTTTTCCGTTTTGTGGTAAGCTTTTCTTTGGCTGTCACTTCTTCACCCTGACCTGTCTTATTTGGCTCAGCAGAACTAAAATATATATCCTGCTGCTTTTACACACGCACTCACATAAGCTCAGCGATTCTCTGCGCGATCAACCTCTCACATGTTTAAGCTTGCTGCGGGAGATTTCACTTGTCATGTTTGCATAGTAAGCTAACGATTGATAAGACGATGTCAGAGGAATTGGTGCGCAAATTATCATCACTCACTATACACAGTTCGCGCGATTGCAAAGTGAAAGCAAAAAACAAGCGCAAATTCAAACGCGATTTCAATATGTCACATATTGACAGTGGCTCACCGATGCCAATGACATAATTACCCAGCTACATTTCCGAAAGAATGCAAAAGCATTGACATATATTTTTCCTTCCTATGAGAGCCCGACGGGCAGGGCAGAGGTAGATTTTGGTAGCCCGACTGGAAAAATCGCTAGCCCCGGGATGTTGGGCTAGCGATTTTGCGAGCCCTGCACATGTACCTCATATTTATAGCATCTAGTAAAGACAGGGGTAAAGATGACAATAATGAACTAAACCACAATCAGAAACATCAGGGTGGATAAAGATGTAATTAGTGTTGGAAAATGAATGACACCAACCTCTACCACAGGGGAATTGTAGAAAAGGGGAGAGGCCAAAGTGGTACCCCAAATTTATAGGGTTGCACCAAAGAAGAAGTAGAAAAGGATGAGGAGGGGCTCTAACTGATAATGAAGTTAACTACAGGCTTGGAGGTCCTAAAAGTCAGGTATAAAAGTAACAGTGTGGGGTTTTGAACACATTTTGTGTAATTATAAGAATATGTAATTTATGACCCGGTTACACATTCAAATGTCTTTTTTTGACCTCACACGCACACTTGATTGTTCAGTCAGTGCAAATACAGTAATGTGCAAAAGTCTTAGGTTACCCCTCCTTTAAATTTTGCTATGAAAATGAGAAAAAGATGCTAAGGGTTATTGAATGAGGAAATACAGGCTATAAGGCAAAAACAGAGTTTTTTACAGTTCTGTTCTATAACATAGCTCGAACTCTCATAGGCAGCTTTCTTGACATTTCTTAAGTAGTTTTCAGTTTTCAATTACGACACGAAAGAGCCGATAGATACAGAAAAAGGCTCAGACATCTCCGTACCCCACTTAGCTCCTTGCATAGTTTGATGTGAATACCAAAAATCCTAATTACATATGCAACGACCCCTCTGCTTTGCAATTTAACAAACAGCTGATGGTTCACTTTGTCAAATGCTTTGGGCGCATCTAAAAAGCACATAAAACGGATGTGTTCTGTCCCTATATTTGTATATATATTTATGTATGGATCAGTATAACGCTTACTCTTAAAACCAACTTGATTATCAGTTGTTGTTATATGCTTTTGAAATCTGTGTTCAAACACTTTAGAAAATACATTTGCCAAGGCAGTTGGTCTCTAATTATCAATTCTAGAAATCTTCCCACTTTTATCTTTTACTACTGGCACTAACGGAAATGATAACATGGAATCAGGTAAAATACCATCAGTTTGAAATCCTGTAAAGCACATTTAGAGTGACATGTGGACACTCTTTTTGACTAGGTGCTCTGCTGATAATTTGTCTAAACCACACGCTTTGTTTGATGTGTCTCATTTACCAGCCATCTACATTGAAGCAGTAGGGATGTCTGCAGCAGAGAGCAACCATGCGCAACGTGTCCTGTCTGCCCTGAACCAGCAGAGGGCAGTGGGCAGGTTTTGTGATGCATCATTGAATGTGGGAGACGGGGTAGTGTTCCTTGCTCATCGCAACATCCTCGCCTGCTTCACTGAACTCCTCCAGCAGTCAAACGTGCCTTCTGCAACAGAGTTCTGCCTGCAGGGATGCCCCAGTGATGGCTTGGAGCTGCTCCTAAACTTTGTCTACACCGGAGAGCTGAAGTTGGATCCTCGCAACCTGGACAGAGTCCAGCAGGCAGCAGCCAGCCTGTGCGTACCAGAGGCACTCACACGCTGTCAGCAGTTCAAGGAGACCTCTAAGGAGCCTGTGCCTGTCAAGCGTAAAAGAGGTAGACCTAGAAAGTCTGCCTCAGACATCACGAAATACGAGCCCACCATTGATACTGCTGCAGCCAGTTTTACCACTGCTGCCACTACTACAGCAACCACCACACGCTCTGGCCGAGTAGTGAAGAGCTCCAGGCGACTTGTGACTATCGATGAGAGCCCTACAACTGAAAATGAGTTGGCCCCGCCTCTTCCTGTGGAGAAAGAAGTTGGTGATGCAGTTGTTGAGGAAAACCAAAACTCAGATCAGCTAGCTGGTGAAACCGAGGTAGAATACAATAACATAAGCATGAAAAAATATTTCAACGATGGGGCATTTGTGCGGATAATAATGAGTGTGTTTTTAAAGAGGAATATAGATGTTTTTATTACACCTGTCTTGCAGGTAACGGAGCTGCAGATTAACGACAATGTTATTAGCCAGGTAAGTGGGGAAGTGGAAGCAGAAGACGATAATGATGACGTGGATATTCCGGAGGAGATTCCCGAAGACACAGATGAGGAGTATGTGCCTGCTACTAAGCCCGCTTCCTCAACCACATCCCCGTCTACGGCGACTGGACAGAAATGCAAGGCCCAGAGTCAAAAAAACAAAAACAAGAATGGTCAGACGATGGAGGACGATTCTAAGAAGGCCTCCGTGCAGTGTCCCATCTGCTTCAAAGCCTTCAAGAGCAAATACTACCTCAAGGTTCACAACAGGTACAGGGTGTCACCTTTTTTTTTCTTTCCAAATGCTCTTAAAAGAGTAAACTAATGTCTCATCTCCACAGGAGGCATACAGGGGAGAAGCCCTTTGGTTGTCTTAAATGTGGAAGACGGTACTACAGGAAGGAGAACCTTTTGATACACGAGATGAGAGACTGTTCTAGTGCGCTGGTGAGTAAAGAAAATCACCCTTTCACGCTTTCTCCAACCCTCACTATGAAGAATCCTCAGTGTTTTTACTTTTATAATTCCAGACGTACACCTGCCTCATTTGTTCTACTACATTTAACACAAAAGAAGCGCTACGATTGCATACTGTCACCCACACAGGAGAAATGCCCCACAAGGTACAGCATACACCTAACAAAAAGCATAGCTGAGTATGTCACAAACCTGAAGTGAATATGAAGAATGTCTTCGTCACATTTTGCAGTGTTCAACATGTCCTGAACAATTTATGTACAAGAAAAACTTGACAGTTCATATGATGAAGGTGCACGGTTATCCCAAACCACATGCAGTAAGTACCTACAGTCAGCAGCACCTTCAGTATGTCATTTCAAACTCACTTCAACCCAAATTTTGGGGATTTATGTTTTGATTGTGTTGCTGTGTTTCTAGTGTTCCCAGTGTCCCAAAACCTTCTTAACTCGTGCGGAGCTGCGTGTGCACGAAGCCGCCAAACACCGTGGAGAAAAGCCGTTTGTGTGCGAGGAGTGTGGCCATCGGGCATCTAGTAGAAACGGCCTGCAGATGCATATCAAAGCTATCCACAGGTTGGAGAGCATGTTTTCTGTGAATTTCCTCTTGAGGATGAATAAAAGTGTAAAAGACTTAAAGTTTTAATGAAAACTATTTTAAGTCTGTTTTGTTCTTGCTCACAGAAATGAGCGCCCTTTTGTCTGTAACTCGTGTGGCCACGCCTTCTCCCAAAAGAACAACCTCAACATGCATCTGCGTATACACAGTGGCGAGAGGCCATACCAGTGTCACCTCTGCGGGAAAACCTTTAGGACACAAGGTAACAGCCATATTCTCTGCACATAAGCACTTTATTCACCTTGTATCCACCCCTGTGACACATTTAGAATCAGTAATTTGCCTAAAAGAAGCAAAAGAAAGATCTCAAACTAAGACCCTACTTGCTCTGAGGTAATGCTGTGCCACCCAAACGTCCCTACATTACTATCGATGGGGTCCGGTGTGTTTTGTGCTTCTAAGAGCAATCACTTAGCCGTTTTGCTGTCTTTGCAAACTTTCACTTTAACTGCAGATATTGTGATTTGTGTTAATCTCTGTATTTCACTGCCAGCCAGTCTGGATAAACACCACCGGACTCACACCGGCGAGCGGCCCTTCGGCTGTGATGTCTGTGAGCAGCGCTTCACAGAGAAAGGCGCTCTTCTCCGACACAAGGCCAGCAAGCACGAGGAAGGCCGCCCCCACTGCTGTCACATCTGCGGTAAAACTTTCAAAGGTCAGGTGCTGATTCTACAATAAATTTGTTGTTACTCATGACCTGTGCCCTGATGAATGAAGCGCTGCTAATGAAAGAATCACTGGTGAAGTGATTTCTTCTTTATTTTCTGGTCGTTCTTTTCTCCTTCAGCGAGGGAGCAGCTGCGTGTCCACCTGCGTCGTCATAAAGGCATGAGGAAGTTTGAGTGTGTAGACTGCGGCTACAAGTTCACTCGACAGGTTGGTTCCAACACAGTTTCTTCATCATCAGCAAGCTCATTTTGCAGAGCCCTAATCTAACCCACCACAGGATTTATTATACACCCGAGTGTTTTAGTTTTAACCCTAATTTAACTTCAGGAAATGTGACTGAATCATAGTGGGAAGACAAAGAGATTAATAATTTTGATGGAGGTGGTTTTATTGTAGGATGTCTCCCATGCCAATTTTCATCACCATTCTGCTATTCACGCCAGATGGGACTAAAACCCATAATCTCCGTCTAAGAAGGCGAGTGGCACATGTATTAGCCACTCGGGCTACTGTGGATAGGGAGTGAGTGGACACAAATGTCAATTTTCAGGGGCACGCTTATGTGAATGTGCCTGAGTGAATTTATTGTGTCCTAATTCAGACTGTTTGCTTTGCGGTGTGATATTGGTCTATAACTGCTATTTCATACAAACAAGATTTTTTAGAAAAGAAATAAAAAAGATAAAAGCAAGTTTCAAAAAGTGCAAAGCAAAGTTCTTTGGTCATAAATATGAAAACTGGTAAAAATTTATAACTGAAGCTTTTATAAAATGAAAAAAATAATCCATCTCTTTAGTTGCCATCAAAGTTCCAGGTAATTAAATTAATTACTTTTATATTATTTTTTGTAATCATTTCAGGTCTGTATCACTTGCATGGTTATTTGCGCACTGTCCCCATATTCAGACCCTTCTAATCTTTAATGTCATTCAGCAAGAATCACTAGTTTGTGGGCTTTTTTATGTCTGGCTATGACAGCTATATAAAGCTTTATATCTATCTTTCTAATGGGTTTATGTTTTTGTGTGACATTTTACAATTATTGGACTCTACTAAACTAAGTTTGCATGAGACACAGTTAAACATAATCTTCTTTATCTTATACTGGGTGTTTAGAGTCTCTTTCCCCTCCCTTTAGGCCAACTTTCTACTGAATGTCTGACCCTGCCACCAGGTGTTTGGGTGGGTCTTCTGTGGTCACAGCCAGGAGCTGTGTGGCCGAGACGACCATATTAAGAATGTGTAGAGTCTGAACTTTTCACTTACAGGGATATTTGTATAAACTTGACTGTAGACCAACATGACTATACTGTATATCTATAATTTTTGTGTTCTTTTTGAAGCATTCCCTCACTTGCATCATGTTAGTTTACACAACTCTCACATTTTTACATTTCCTCTTCAGGCACATCTGCGGCGTCACATTCAAATTCACAAGCGCACTGAGAACTACAACCCGCGGCAGAGGAAGCTGAGGAATGTGATTGTGCAAGATGTGGATGGAAGTCCGGTCGAGACCGAAGCTCCCAAATCGGAGGAGGCCTCGCTGATCTGTGATGGGTCCACTCAGGAGTCCACAAACCGAGGAGCTGAATCCTCAACAGGTCTCACCTCTGGCTGCATCGTGAGGGTTGTGATTGAGTCGAGTGATGCGGTGATGGAGGAGGTTATTTCTAACCAGAACTTGGGAGAGGTCGAATCCACGCAGACTTTTCCTGTGTTGCAGCAAACACAGCTGGTTACTGAGCCCTATGAGTCCACGATAGACATGGAGGGAATTGTTGAGAATTTGTCAGAGAGCAAGACCTGAAGCGAGCAAGTGTGCAAAACAACAAGTCTGCTTCTGCTTCCACGCATGCAAGAAAAGCAGATTCATGCACTCTGTAGTTTACACAGTAATTCAATTGCATGTTTTTAAATGCTGTTTGAATGTAAAATGTTATTTTCCACCTTGTTAAGACAGGTTTTGTCAGTGTGCTTACAGCAGCTGGAGCTCAGTGTCACCTTACATTGCTGATTAAAGGAGAACGTTTTCCGTGCAGTCAGAAAAGCATTTTCTTACTTTTGGTTACAATGTGGTTACAGTGTACAAATGTAGTAGTTCAGTGTTTTTTTTATTACGGTTCCTCCAGGTGGTGGTTTTGTACTGGACTGCATTATGTTTCAGGGTGTTTCTAATATTCTTTGAAATAGAAGAGTTGCAGAGCAGTAAAATTGCACAAGTGTGTAAAAAAAAAAAAAGTAAAGGCAGTTACAAGGTGGATGAGTGCTAACAACCAATCATGAATGTAAACATCCATCCATCCATCTTCATCCGCTTTATCCGAGGCCGGTCGCAGGGGCAGCAGCCTAAGCAAAGGGAGGGGCTCAGAGTAGAGCCGCTGCTGCTCCACATCAAAAGGAGCCAGCTGAGGTGGTTCGGGCATCTGACAAGGATGCCCCCTGGGCGCCTCCTGGGTGAGGTGTTCCAGGCATGTCCCACCGGGAGGAGGCCCCGGGGCAGACCCAGGACACGCTGGAGAGATTATATCTCTCGGCTGGCCTGGGAACGCCTTGGTGTTCCCCTGGATAAGCTGGAGGTGGCTGCTGGGGAGAGGGAGGTCTGGGCCTCTTTGCTTAGGCTGAATGTAAACAATGAATGTAAAATTATTTAATCTTTGATGGGTTTATTTTAACCTGGTGTCTTTCATATTAATGTGGCTCTATGGGCCATGCTAATTTTGCAGGTTCCATCTCCACTGGAATAGAAAATGGTCCTTAAAAATAATGTGGACAGTGATTTGTCAACAAAACATTATTATACACGTTATATTATATAGTTGTGGCTTACCTTTTCGTGTGAATTTAACACAAAAAGTGTGAAAACTAAGAATTGCTGGGATCCACCGATTGGGTCGATATGATGTGCCTTTTGTGCCAGAGAAACAATGAAATGCCCTCTAAAAAACAAAACTTTAACCACAAGGTGGCAGTATTTTACCAGAGCTTTAGTGCTGTTGTCTATTCCAAAAAGCGTTGAATTGTTTTATGTACTTTTGGAATTATTTTGTAATTTTTACAAATCCAATATTTCTATGTTAGTTTAAAACAAACCAAAACAAGCTGCTTAGGGAATTTCATTGAGCTACTAAAGTAACCAAGTAAGACGGTAACACCGACTTGACTATTTTGCGCAATGTTGGATTAAACATTACACTGACTGCACCATCTTGTGGTTCAAACTGGTATTACGGTCACATTTCAAGACATCGACGGAACAGTTTATATTCAGTCTTTTTGGGTGTAACATCATAACTGTTGCTCATTTTGAAGAGTTTAATTCCTTTAATAATGTTTTAAATGTTTTTTATGAAATATTTTTTGTTGCAAAAATGATCCTTATCACATGGTTTCTGAACATTTAGCCAGAGTAAAACATTTAGAGAACAACAAATACCTGAAAAGTTCCCTGCAACTTCCCAAACCGTTGTTTTTTCACGTTTACGTTTAAATGTTTGATTAAAATACTTGTGTTTGTTCCCTTCACAATAAGCAAAAGGTATCACAACAGGTAAAAGGCAAATTTTTGAGCAATCTATGTTAAATATTTGTCCCAAATCTCTGCAATGATGGTAGGGACTGCAAAGTCATAATGGCCACATACAGCAACTGCTGCCAGATAGAAGAATACCAAATTTCACCTGAAGGAAATGGTTTCAAAACATTTCTTAGATTTATATTATATATTTGGTGACAAACTCGTCAGGATAAATTCTAGAGCACCTTTGATGTCTACTGGCCAAATTAATTTGTTTTCCTGATGCAACAGGTGCAGATTGTTTTTAAAATGTCACACAGGTTAATAATATTTCTTGAGATGTGCTTTTATGTTTTAGTGAGCTTGTGTTTATTTCAGTCTTTCGAAGCTACTGTCAACTGTTTCACTGAAATATTTGCTGCAACCTTGCTGAGAGCAAATCATTGTGACTCAGCAGAATAAACTACGTCAGACCTGCCTGCAGTTTAATTCCTAGTAGCCACCGTGGAAACAGTGTACAAACACAGCAAATAAGGTTAAGAATATACTGTATTTACAAACCTGTTCAACATCACAGACTGAACACTGAAAACAATGGTGTAATGACAACAGCATGGAAACACACAAATATACTACTTCAAACGAAGCAAAAATATATCCTACTCGACAACAAACTGAGATTTTTTTTGCACTTCCAGTTGTAACTGACGACTCATCACCAGCGTTTACGAAGAGCCACTGATCTTTTTGCAGCCGATAGGCAGGAACTTCAGAAGCAATCACAGCACAAATATATCCATAAATAAGAAAACAGTATAACAGTGAAAACATTAAAACGTTAAACATTAAATGAAATACATTAAAAAAAAAAAACTTCATGCATGGTTATAGAGGCTGATATAGCCCTGTTTAAGAGTCTAGAGTGTCATGAGGACATGCCGTGCAGCCCAAGAATCACTAAAAACAGAATCAACTCAGTGCAAGTTAACATCACATGCAGCCAACTTGAAATTCTACTATGATGATTTCTCAGCACACAGATTTCTCCGGGTAAGGATTAACATTTTAACCATACGGCTGTATGCCTGTTTAGTTCTGGATATCAATTTTTGACTTTGGAATGCAAACAGATTCTTGTGGTTTCTGTTAAAATATTTGGCTTTTACTTGTTAAAGAAATAATCCACTCAGAGCAAAACTGCTGCAAAACCAGAGATATGTTGTTTTTATTCCTCTCCTCACCCAAGCCTACGTCACCCATAATGCAGATTGTCTGCCAGTAGCAGCTAATGTAGCCTCGAGCTGCAGGCCTCAAGCAGAGACGAGCAGCAGCTTCAGAGTTTTATTAAGCTCACTTACTTGGAGATTTACTTCATTTTAAAACTTCTTCATTTCTTCAAGCTTAACTGTTACTGCCATTTAATCGTGTTTCTCGCAGCACCCTCTCAACTGTTTTATTCACATTTTGTGATCTGACTTTAATTTAGCAGATTTCGCTTTTAACTTTCACTTTTCTATGTTCATAAATGAAAAACAAAACAAACACCAACAGAAACTCATAAGTAACACACTGAACACAGAAATGTCCACACGCAGACACACCTCACCCTGTAGGAGATAACTCCCATCCACTGTGTAGTTGACATCAGCAGATAGTTCCCATAGAAAAGCTAAAGTTGATGCACACTGTGTGGACCTGTCTGATACCTCACCACATCTGTTTCAATTCTTAAGTGTGGTTTTGGCAAGTGAAAATAATCTCCACTATAACTACAGTTCATACATGGATGCTGGATACAGTGCCAACACAACAGGTCACATATAAACGCAGCTAGCATGATCTTACTCACTGGTTTACATACACCACCACTGGAACATCAAGTTTAGCGAAGACACCCTGCTTTACCAGCTAATTTACTATAAACAGAACCATATTTTAGAAAATGCTGTACTGAAAGAAAAATAAAACAAGGAACTGAGACCATTAACTAGTCAGTTAAGTGTTTACTGATGCAATAAAGTTGAGAATTTGCATCGTTTCCTTTTATGCACAGCCACAGCTGACAAACGCCCACCTTCAATGCAAAAATTCCCCCGTTTTAATCTTTCTAATTTGAATTTTACTTTCAGTTGGTAATAATCTCAAAATGTATAAGCCAATGGTGAGTCCAAGATCAAGGCCAGTAAGGCATTACTGACCAGCAGGAACTTTAACGGATACAACTTAGAAGTGACCCTGCACCATAATCCAGTTCTTCTTCACACCTGTATATGGCTCTCGCCAACCACTCAACAGGAGCTTTCTGGTCTCCAGCTGTAAGGGTAGTTAGGACCCCCATCACAATCTGGCACACCAGAATGATAACCTCTTTAAATATTTATTTTACCCAACAAACAGTCTAAAGCTGAATGTTTACAATGTGAATAAATATATAAATACAAAAAAGCACAGCTAAAGCTGAAACCATTGACATTTAACCTATTATAAAAACAGTTCCATCGATCAACTACATAATAAATTCATTATTTCAGCACTAACTCAAAGTGGTTTCTCTTGTATAACCAAAATAAACTGCAAGCCTGGTTATTAAGCCACAAAACCAGCAGCTCTCTAGAGCTTTTGTACAGAGCCCCCCGAGAATGCAATCCGTGTAGTGGATAATGCAGTCCACTGGGGATACAAGGAGCCAAATGTTTATACAATATATCCATGCATAGACAATTTCTCACACATATACTGGTAAAAGATGAATGTGGATTCCAGGCATATATCAAAAATCATAAGGAGGAGATTAAATTTGACCAATGCTGCCAAGATGTTTTACAGGTAAATTCATTATTGTGTAAGTGCTATAAATTCACAGCTGTGTGTAGTGTTTTCTGATAGAGACAAAGAGGTTTAGCGAGAGCTGGGTTGCCACTAGTATTAATATGCAAATAATCTCAAAAGGTGGTGAATGTGGTGAAACGACTTGGAAGTTGTGAACAAAACAATCAGGTGACTATAGAAAATAACAGGTATGCATTTCTGTAGTGCGTAAACATTACTTCACTCTAATCTGCAGAAGCTTATGGATGTTTTTCTTAGCATTGCTGATGTAACTTAGACTTTTCCCCCTGTGGGATAAATAAAATATCTGTGTGCATCTATCCATCTGGCTCCAGGCCTTTCTGTCCAGTCAACAGACTAAGACTAGCTCAGTCTTCTTTTCTGACTTTGACAGCTTTAGCAAAGCGATGAGGTAAATTCACAGTACACTGAGGGCACGATGAGGGAGAACATGGTCAATGGGGGTTTCGAGGTTTCGAGATCAGTGTGCCGCGTTCAGATCCTGATTCTGGTTCTGGTTGAGGTTATTGAGATTGTGGAGCGCGTGGTGTCGGTGATGCCGGTGCAGGAGAATGCCGTTTGACTCGGGTATGTCAGTGGGTTCGAATGCGCTCGACACCAGGGGCATGAACTGCCGGAAAATGCTGACGCTGCCATGCCAGAAGGTCGGCTGAGGTAATCGTCCAGCAAGACTCCAAGTGCGGGTGGCCGGGTCGTAGGCTTCTACGACATCGGACAGCTCAAACGTATTGTCGTAACCACCAGACACGTACAATTTAGCCCCCAGGGCCGCCACACTGCCTCCAACATGGACCTGAAAAAGAAAACAAAATTTTTAAGCATGTATTTTTGCTGTAATTCATAATAATTTATACATCTAACAATAACAATAAAAAGCAGCCAGACAGACATAGACAATTTTTTATTTTTTTTCTTTGTGTAGCCTTTGATTCATTATTGTATATAATAAGTTGATTTTTTTTTCCAATTCAACGAAAACAAAAAATGCTTATTTCAGAGGAGCATCATATGTGTCCCACACTAACGACTGCCCTGAACATACTGTATGTACAACCACTTTCTCAACATATTGTCATGAGAGAAATATTGCTTTTCTTTGAAAAAACTAACAGATATATTATTAAACGTACACTCAACAAAAATATAAACGCAACACCTTTGTTACTGCTCCCATTCCCCATGGGATGGACGTAGAGACCTAAAATTCATTCCAGATACA